CCCCCCCCCACAAAACCGTTTCGGTTTTCGGGTGTGTCCTCTGGAGGCGCTACAGTGTGATTCCTCCACTTTTTTTAGAAAAGTGGGGCTTAGGCTAAATCCAGATGGCTATGTTGATTTTTTTCCATTCTGGTAGGTCCTGGGTAACGAACGAGGTTGCGATCCCATTTGGCCTCTGAACTTCTCCCCTCCCCTCAGATCTTAACCCGAAAGGCCACTATTTTTTGCATTGGGAGATGTGGAAAAAGAGCCATAAACCGGCGTGCCAGTGGTACTAAATTCATCCAGTTAATGGACAAAGTTAAAGTAGGTTTTGAGGCACCTCTCCTGGCAAGTGTAAAATCAACTTGTTCCGGGCAGGCACGGTTGAGATTGTAGTGGATAATAGCAGCGATTGGTTCGAGTAGAACTCTGACAATAGTGCCACATTCTTTTCCATTAAATCCATTCGATTTTGAAAGCCTCACCCTTTTTTTTCTTTTCCCTAATGAGACTTAGACTTAGCCCTAACACCCTCCAAGTACTACAACGACAGGAGTCACTAATCGCGGCAAATTGGCACTTGCCAATTAAATCAAATTTGGCGCATGCTACGTTTGTCTGATAAAAAGAAATCAATTAAAGCTTGAATTAAATGTACGCATTGGATTGGATAAAGAGAGTGAAGTTGTCAACGCTCCGCTTGCTGAGGAGAGAAAGTACAGATTAGAAAGATCTAATTCGGAGAATCAATGATTCCTCTGGGATTTCAGCAAGTAAAGTTTGGTAACTATTTGTCCTTGAATTTATCTTAACTGAAGACAAACAGGGCAAAGTTTTAGGTTCGATTGGAGGTTGGCTTAAGGAATGCAATGAAAGAAAAGTGCTCTAGTTATATGCCTTTTTTGGAAAGATTGTAGTCATGCCAATTTTTCACCATCCACACACAATTCGCCTACTGAATAGGCTAGCCAAGTTGAGTGACTCCCTGTTAACAGCACCTCAGTGACAAAATTGCAACGTGCATGTCTGCTAATATCAATCGGAGAGTATTCAGTCGGCAGAACATATATGAGGCTCTTGATCAAAGACCCAAAAGAGTGGCACCTCTGTTTGAAATAGTTAATGATGCCTTTTCTTTAACCAATGGAAGGCGTAACTCCTCAATAATATGTGCAAAACATTCTCCAATTGATGAAATGCCCTGTTAGACTATTATCGGGCATCCTGTTTCGACTGTTTGTGCAGTCATAGCACGCTTGTCGGCAATATTTCACGGATTTTGTTTGTTTGGACTTAAACCAACGTCACCCAATCATCAGCTTTGATCTTATTTATCACCAACCAGTCATGTGTAAGCCAGTTTTAATAGGCAAATCTGGTATTGCAGCCTAGGTCTAAGTACCACCGCTAAAATCACCAGGTGTTAAGTATACAGTTTACACAAACATTGATTAAAAACAAGTACAGTTGGCAAATAAGTCTGTCCCCAACTTCAGTTCATAATATCCACTTTCCGAATGCAAAAAAATTTACTTTTCCAAATAATCGGCATTCAGACATACATATCCTTCCAGAAAGATTTCCAGGAAGGCGCCAATTGAATAAATCGAGATTCAAAAAAATTAAAAGGCAGTAATCCCAAATGTGTTTTTCTCAAATCAGAAGGTTAGCTGTAAATGAGTCAAATTATAATTTAATCGATACTTTTATTTCTTGTACTCTAAGCTACCTGAGCAAACCAAGTGTACATGTTTACCCTCCCAAATAATCATGGTCTATCGATATGTCTAATCATTTCAAGCTCTTTATGGAAACTAACTCCAGAAATGAACGTTTTCTCAAAAGTTTCACTGGAAGTATATCAAATATTCGCACCTTGAAAGCGTCAATTCGGATGATAGACTCCATCGAGTGTACGGAGAATTTATACGCCTCCAAAATACTACATTTGTTAGTGTATTCTTAACCCTGCTGGTTCCAACGTGTTTCCATTAATCGAAGTGTGTGCCAGAAAAGTTTCCTCTTCAAAAAGCCTGTACACAGAAGTTGAATCCACATTGTATAAATAGAAAACTATAATTTAACCCAAAATTACCTCCACATGGTGCACCTTGGGCAACGTATACTCATATGGCAAAAAGCCTATAAACTGGCAGTTGACTTCTGGCTTCAAACTACCATCACTTATTAACTGGCAGTTAACTTCTCACTTCAAACTACCATCACCCTAAGCGGCAGTTGACTTCTCACTTCAAACTACCATCACCCGCACTGGCAGTTGACTTCTCACTTCAAACTACCATCACCCCTCACTGGCAGTTGCTTTCTGACTTCAAACTACCATCACCCCACCGTAAACCGGCAGTTGACTTCTGACTTCAAACTACTATGGTCCGACTATAGTTGACTTCTGACTTCAAACTATCATCACCCCACTGCACTGGTCCATATTCGACTACTTCCACAGTACTCACCTCATCTTTTTCACTCTACCTTTGTGTCTCCATATTCGACTACTTCCACAGTACTCACCTCACCTTTTTATATTCGACTACTTCACAGTACTCACCTCACCTTTTTCCCACCTCACCTTTTCACATATTCGACTACTTCCACAGTACTCACCTCACCTTTTATTGACTTCTGACTTCTAACTACCATCACCCCACTGTATGTTACTAACTATTATGACCCGACACTATGTCATATTACACTACTCACGGTATTCATCTTACCTTTTCTATTCGACTACTTCCACAGTACTCACCTCACCTTTTTTCAACCTTTGTATTTGTCTTTTACATCTTTGAAACACTCTTCTGCCCCTCCCCTTCAATCTCGACATTTTTCACTCTGATGTTCCTCCTCCTCTCTGTGAAGCCTGAAGTCAACTAAAGGGCTAATGATAACTATCAAAACGCCTGCCATTTGATATAAATAAATTTAATCGAAAATAAGACACAGTTGATGAACAGTCAATCAGAGCTAACACAGTCATGTCGGATTTCGGAGGGTAGATGCAATAATATATTTGAGATCAATGAGTAACATTTTCAGGGTTCTTGTCCAATTCTCCTCAGTATTGTCTGAGTACCTATTTAGACAAAGAGAACAAGGCCACATTTCATTAACATACTCCATCGAAGCACGTTAGCACCGAGAACATGAACCTACTTGATAGAGTGAAGCGAACCGCTTCTGTCTTGAATACGGCCGTTTTCCACAATTTTGTATGGAAGACAGAAATCTGGGGGTCGTTCTACTAGTGCTTGAAGTTGGCCAATGCAATCCAAATACATCACCAGAGCAGTGTCAAAACCGCTGAAAAAAAATCAGCGCACTCTATTGGCTCTTATGAATGAATCATGCTATAAAATTAATTGACGAGGAGAAATTCCCACCTGCTGTTATTGCCCAACAAACGGATTGCTCCTGAGGCGTTATAAAGGGGCATAGGAGAACCATTCGGTAAAGCGGCAATCCTTGATTGATTTCCGATGGGGGTTATCACATAACTGAGTGTGAATAGATTGAATACACGATTAATGTCGGCAGACAGTCACGAAGAACTTCAGTTCTGACAGGCAACTTACTTTTTAAAAGTGTAGGAAAACTTCTTGGCAAGACATGTGGCAAGCATTGCACATTGACCCAGAGCTGCATTGATCTCTGCCCAACTGATCTATGAACAAGTAATAAGGTGCAAAAGCTAGTTAAATGTGCTTGACATCAAATTAAGTCCCCAAATGACGTATAGTGTGTGCACATCCTCAATCATACCTCTGAGCGGTCTAATTATCACTTGCAGACTTTCCTCGGTTGCTCATTAACGAAAAAAGGATACAAAACTTGAGAACCACCCAATCGTATCCCAACAGTTCTTCGTTATCACAACTCCAGTTCCACTCGATAAGTACTGAGACCTTTTCTCATTTACTTCCTCATACTCATTTCCTTCTCCCTCTCTCAGTCCGCCACCTCTGTGCAATACACATTTGTGCGACTCAACTCTTTATCTTCCCCATTTAAGAAGCACCGAACCAAGCTATTAGCCTTTAGGAAGATTATAAGATCTGAAAGGGGATAGCTTTAAGAGCAACTTGCCCTAATTTTTAAGGTAGCTTTAATACAGCGCACAAGAGCTACTTTAGATATTGATATATAGAATAAAAGCATAGAAAATGAGTTGATTGGAAATCGTGCAAAATAGCCGACACACGCCAATAAATAAATTTGCAAAATAATTACAGTTTGAGTTGGAAACTTCCTTCTTTCCAAGGTCGGAACACCAATGACCGAGGTCCATTCCTCTAAAACGGATTTTGCACAAAAATACTACTAAGAGTGTCTGATAGCAGCAAACATAAGGGCCTCACTACGAGAAGACTGGTGTTTGGGTTACGCTCTCGCAGATCCGTGACTTGTGAAGAGCTCGCTAAGTTGCTATCTATGGAAAATACTGGATTCAAGCTTCAACCAAGTTAATCGCCACCTCTGGGCTGCTATGAATAATCTCTTAACTTCTTTAATTCTAAAACTTCTCTTGAGTACTAGAAACTGAGAAATCTTGAACAAAGTCACGCATGAAGCAAATCGAACAAAACGCTAAGGGCTGATTTAGATCGACCGATTTAAAGAAAGAGACAACATCAATTCCCCTTGCTGACAGGGAACTCGGGAGAAAAATTGTAAAATACAAAACTGCCAACAGAATGCAAATGTTCACGCAGGGGAAAGGAAGATTTTGTACTATGGACGAGATTATTGTTTTCAGACAGCGATCAACAAGCAACACTGGTACAATTTCCCCGCTGTTTTAAGTCCTAATCAAGACAAGAATGTCTGCAACACCACGTATTTGAATGCCCTCCATACTATTGACATCTCTAACCTCAAATATGTCAAAATCTCCAAACCGTTCCCTAAAAGATTTCCTCTCTGCTATAACTGCATACCTGTTTGGTCGAATGGTAGAATTCAAATTGTTTTACTGTATAACTGATTGTAATAGTATTCATAATAACAATATTATTACTTAATAGTAAATTAGTCTAATTATTGGTTGGTTAGTTGCGATCTTACCGGATTAGAAGGAAGGCGACCCAAGTGGAGGCTGTTAATAATACCTATATGCCCATCATACCAAATGGGAAAGGTGGCATTGAGAACATTCGTATGTCGGAGACGCTTGTACTGTTGATGTCCATCAGTGAAACGAGCTTCAAGCATATTCAATTTCTCCTCGCCTTCCATCACCTTGACTCGTAGTTCGTTGTATTCCATCTTTGCTCTAAATGAGAGTAAAGCGTGGTAATTGTTCGAAGGCAAAGAAAATGACTCATAGACATTAAGTATCACGAATTATCAGAGTTAGCTAGTGAGGTAGCCTTCCACGTGTCACCGGTTGTGTACACGACCTCGGGACCTTTTAACTTGGCAAATGTGCACGTTGCGTACTGCGCTATTGCCTCACAGTAGAAGGAACTTTCATTGCTCAATAGATTAGTAAGATCGGCAGTGCAGATTATCTATGGATGTCTGTATGGTGACCTCTGACTTTGACTTTGTGGATCGTCGCAAATCTCTCCTCTATCCATATCACATTTACTCTGATGCTCATTGCATATAACAGGGAGCAAATTGAAATATGAAAATAACTCTTGAAAATGAAATACCACTTAACTTAATCATTTTCAAAATTGAACTTTGATTTGAGCTTACCTTTGGAAAGAGTAATAAAAGGCGAATAAAGTTAAGGGTTGACATAATTGAAATACTGAACCACACACCACTAGATTTTCATGACAGAATCCCAACCAGCCTAGAGAGAACACAGCTTACGAATGTTTGTTAATCACGTACTTGTAGTTACTTCCATCTTTCCCACCAAATAAACTCTTAGCAACAGTATACCGAGTAAGATTATTTAACTTTATAAACTATAAGAAGAATGTAATAAAGCGAAAAAAAACTTAGCACTGTTAATCAAAACTCTTCGGTACATCGAAGTTACTCCCGACATTGTTGGACCTTCTTCTCTTCACCTCCCTCCCCCCCCCCGTCATATCTATCATTAATATTAATCTATTTCAGTTGTTTCCTAAGTTTAAAAAAATGGTAAATTGTCATTGCCATTGCGTTGTAATTTTCAACTAGTAAAAATCGATAACAGAAGCATTTGAATGTAATGAGATGTGCATCCAGATGTGCGATTGCATATGGGGAAATGCATCAGTACTTTCATTATCTCAACATTTTCAGTGTACTGCTAAAACTATCAGGTAATAAAAAAGCAGTAATTTTTATGGCAAAACTTGGGCAGAAACATTACGCGCCTATACTCGTAAACTATATATATATATATATAATAAATAAATATGCATATTCAGAAAAAAAAGAATAGCAGTCGAATGGGATTACCTACCGAGCAAGTTCTTCTTCACACTGGTTCAGCTCAGAGCTGGCATTGGCAATGTCCTCATCTAATTGCTCATTTTCTCTTTGAAGTTCCATTCGCTTTTTCTGAACAGAACTCAACTCATTTCGAAATTGGACTAATCGGGACTTTGTGGCAGTTTCGTCACCATCAGACTCCTCTACACTCCGTGGGGTACCATCATTAGCACTACATTCCTTATCTTGCTAGAATTAACAGTTATAAAAACAAAATTCCTTAACTTACGGTTTGCAGTGGTTCTTCATCTTTCAATAAACCCAAGAACGTATACACATCATTAGAAGGCTTGCTCATAGTCAATTCTTCCGATGGAAACTCAATGTCCGATTGAGCCTTCAAATGTTCAAGAAATTTCCTACACAATACCATACGTCATAATCATCAATTCACATCTTACTCAAGGTTATCGATACACTTTTTCTGATAAGCGATCAACTTGAGTTGATTATTGATTAAAACATCCGCACATTCCTCACAAACGGGCCCTTTGCTTTCCATCCGCCCGCTGAGAAGATCAGAAAGATTACTTTTCACCTGAATATTATTAAATTTAAAGCTAAAGCTACTACCTTCATCGCTTGTGCTATCTTTGGGTTGGCAGAAGACGAAATTTGGCTACAGAGGAAACCATTTTAGATTGTTAAAAGATATCAACTCACGATTTTACTTCAGAACCTGTAAAGAAAAGGGAAAATGCTGCAAATTTCAAACACAATCTTGGCATTTTGTTTTAAAAATAAAAAAAACAAAACAGGTTCAACAACTATCTAACACATTAGATTTTCGAAAAGGAGGTTGCGGGGTGAACTATCAAGAAACACACTTTAGGGGATGGTTTCTCGAGTATGGTTTGAACGATTGATTGAGCAAACAATGGTAGAAAGATCAGTCAAGACCCCAATAGGGTATTTATGCAGACAAGGATAATATGTTTAGCACAGTAATTTAACTTGCACATTACACATGACATATAGGGAAATGACAAATACGCCTAGTAATTAATTTTAGCATTTTGAGTGGAACAGCAGAGCAGTGTTTTGTTTAACCGAGGCAAGATAACCTATAACTTAAATTTTTGTTAGTAAAATCATACCATTGGTAAGAAACCGGAATTCAAATGCCTCGTTATCAGTCGGACTTAAACAGTGCAATTGATCATTACCC